ATCAAACTATATGGCTCTATTTTTAAGTTGTCTGTATACAGGGTGTCCGAATACTCACATAGCACGCAATATCCCCAGTATATGCGGTCAATGTCCCATTTAAGACGCATGTCCCTGGACATGTGGATGATATTCTTAGGATATTCTGTAAAATACATCCCAGGGATATCCTCTGATTTACTGTACACGATATACCACAGATATCTTCTAAATAGATAAACTGAGGATATCCCCTTGCGCCATAATGGAAACAGTAGAATAGAAACCCAAAAAGTTAAATTTTGAATAACCGAAGAAGGAAAATACTCAGTTTTTTTTTTAGATTTGTGGCGTTTTGGGAGACATTTTATTGGCAATGTTCTTGTGCACATCTACATCGACGTTAAAATCAAATCGTTTTAATATTTTTGGACACGAACGAGACAAGAAACGCTATTTTAATAAAAATGCCACAGAAAATACGAATTCATCCAATTCAAAAAATTACAAAAACTTTAAAACAATATATTTTCTTATAAGATCCCATTTGACAACACCGTTCGGCTACAACCAATGACGCAACTACTCGCGGTCGTGCCGGGCCGGACTCGCTCGCGTCTCGTCGGCTTCTCCTTCGTCTCGTCGTCCGCCATCTTTTCAGCCTTGTTTTTGATGGTGCCATAAGGTATATGGCGACTTGGCGTCTATTTTGAGTATGTTGTGTGCTGTGCTTACTGGTTTCAGTTATTTTTTGTGATATTATACTAAAAAACTAATAATTCATCTAAGTGAAGCTTTAAGATAATATATAACATAAGATTTGATAGGAGCGAGAGTTGTGTGAGTTTGTAAAACAAGCTGTGACTCCGCTGATTTCAACTTGCAATGAAATTTTATTTAATTAAATTAATTTAAATAAATTAATTAATTAAATTAAATTAAATTTAATTGGTTGGGCATGAAGAAAAAGGAGAAATTTTCAAAATTAAAATGGGCCAAATTAATACTTGGTACGTAGTTATTATGTTTTTAAAAATAAATATGAGGTAAATTTAATATAAATAAAGTATAAGAAATATAATTTAATAAAATATATATTATGGTGATCGCTTAGTTGATACTTTTTTTAAAGAGTGATTGCTGAGATTGCGAGTTAAGATAAAACTGACTTTTTTTTACTTATATACGTTTTAGATCACATACCTTTTTTGATTCTAGACTTCTTTTCGTATCTTGTTGCTTAGTATTTGAAAACAGAAATAAAATCCACTTATATGTTTTTAAGCAGTTAAATTTAGGCATACAAAACTAAACCAATTTTTTATTTAAGTAAACAATGGTAGAGAAAATCCCCCATAACAAAATTATGTTTTTTGTTATATAGTATAGTTAGTATATTTTTTCTTGAAATGGGTGCAAGAATCACTCCCCAAAAGCATAGTATTAATTTTAGGAATCACCCTGCACAAAGTACAATTTTCACAAAATAAATAAGAACTAAAAGTTCAGATTTTCACGAAATTATATATATTTTTACGTGACAATTGTTTCGGCAACACCGTGTTTTTATCAAATGTGACATTTGAATGGATTTTCATCAAGTGAAAGCGACCTCAGTTCAATTTCTACAATTTTCACATTAAAATGGTTGTTGGGTTAATCCATGAAAACGTTTTTCCGAGTTTTTAATTCTAGGTTTCAAAAAATATTGCATGAAAATAGGCCTTTACTGTTAAACTGAAAAGTTATATTTGTTCTAGTTTTTTTTTGCGAGCGATAGTATCCATTCTCATGAAAGAGATCTTACCGATGAGAATTTAATAAGGTTTGCATCTAATCAAATGAAATACATAAATGTATGCCTACATCATCGTAGAAATCAGCATCTGAGATCAGGTTCTATCAGCGTTTTACTTAAAAGGCAGATGTAGGGATTTTTTTAATCTTTAAAAATCTTTAAACTTTTACTTAAAGGATGTTCTAGTACGATATTTTCTAAATTATCCATTAAAATCTCGGCTAACAAAAGACTAAGTGGCTTTCCCATAATCAAACCTTCAAGAGATGCAAATCTGCCCATTAAATTGTGTTGTCGAAACAATTTCGCGAAATCTGAACTTTGAGTTCCTGTTTATTTTTATTTATTTTGTGTAAATTATTTTTTAGGATATTGAAATATTGGCTGTCCCATTAGCTTCACCGTAGGACAGACATTTTCGATTTTCAGAGCTGCGTTTTTTTTCCTACAGACTTTACCCCTGAGCATCTGAACCAAAAAGGTTCATTTTTGTTTCGTCGCTAACGTTTTCCCAAAACTTCCTGGATTTGTAGAATTCCTTCTGTCAACGCCGCCGTTATATTAGACTTATTTGACATAGTTTCATTGCTTCTAGAACTGCCTTATTTTTTATAGTTCAAATAAAATGTCTCTCTTATTTTTGACAGACTGTATAATACAAAAATTTTGTTTAATGTAATGTATTTTGTTTTCATTTAAAATGCCCTATTGAGGTTCTATTGCACCATATAAACCTGACCAAAATCGATCTCTATTATCTGTGCTCCGTGACATAATAAAAAGTGTGCCTTGGGAACTTATTTTTTTTTAATAAAATAACGTTCCGACGTCGTAATATCAAATCGAAGACCAGATGTATTAGCTGGGGTTTAAAATAATCTCCCGTCGGGAGCACCGGAACGCGAACAATAGACGCCAATAAAATGGCGGCCGGGTCCCCTGCGACAAATCGCGCACTAAACCCGAAACAAATTGCCGTCGAATATAAATGGTTCATAATATAAATTAAACGGTTACCCCGTCGTCTTTTCCGTCGTGTTCGCCCCTCGGGAGTGCGGCGCGTTAGGGGAGTGCGAGAATTAAAGATAAAATCGAATCATTTTATAACAAGCCGGCAATTTGGTGAGTTTTAACGTCATTGGGCCGAAACGGTCCCTCGGGGACGGGGCGGCCGCTCGGAATTGGGGGGAGCGACGCGAGATACGCCCTTAAGTGGGTCTATGGAGACGTACGCCAATGTGATCGATATTAAACCGTTAAATTAGGAATTAGATGATCGCTTCGGGTATATCCGTTGGTTAACGTTACGATATCGCTATATCGGTTCGATTCGCTACCTTAAATAACGCGTTAACAGTTTCCTATTAAACGATTTTCCAATAAATACAAGCTAAGAAATATGAGAACGTAGTGCCTGGCGCATCCGCCGAAACACAAGTTTACGATTTTTACATTATATTCCACGCTGGAACTCTATGCAACACATCAAACAAAACGATTATCTACGTGCCAACTGTATTTCTTACATAGTAAACGCTGGAATAGATGGTCATTTGCAATACTGTGCCGCCAACGCAATCGCGAGTGTCAAAATGTTGTTTAAAAAAACTGACAAAATCGCATTTACTTGCAAAATAACTAGCATTTTCAATAGTTGAATTCACTTTTTGTTGTGGTGGTCACGGACAATAAAAAAGGTTATTGTTTATATAAATTTATGTTTGTATGTGTGGAAAGATCTAGTATTCCGAACTATTCGGAACGAGTGGATAGTTCGATGTAGAAGAGAGGACAAACACAAAACAGATATCCACAATTTAGGAGATTATACTTATAAAATTACCACAGATCATCATTACAGCATTTCCTCGTGGGTACAACAGTTATCACATGGTGGCCTTATAAAGCCTTCTGATCATTTTTATTTGAATTTTTCGTTTTGAATCCCATCATGGTTTACGATTCTTGGATTTTAACTACACTCTTACAAATTTTTTCGGGGTGTGACATGGATGAAGCAAAACTTTACATATTGCCCGTTTCAAATTCAAAAAATGTCTATAGTTCTCTTCTGTAAATTCGTCAAACAAAGTAATAATATTATAAAAAAAAATACAAATAGGACAGTTTAAATATTTTAACCAATTTATTGTCATTTTTACAAGTAGAAACACAACACCAAAACATATATATAGTTAATAAATATTACATGGAATCAAACGACGCTCTAAAAAAGATTAAAATCCAAAAAGAGAATCTGAAACCATTAAAATCACCAATGACCGATATTAATTCAATTCAATTATGCGTTTCACAAAAAAATGTTGGGCTCGACTGCTAGGATCATTCGCCCATTGCCGACTTCCGTCGAGGATTTTCGCTTCTGGTCAATGACCACCACGTACAAAGAAGAAAAATAACCAATAATTTGCTCAGCTAGCAAAAAACGATTCTGACCGATACCAAAAAAATCGGCTTAGCCCCGCTTCCACCGCGGACCATCCGGGCCCATCCGGCCTCCATACCGGCGTGAACAGGAAAAAACGACGAGGCCGACGACGATTTTCACTTTAAAACGTACACTGAACACTCAAAACACTAAATCCACACCGTGGAAACCGATATCAAACTTATTGGGACGAATACAAGGGATTCTGTCGGGAGCGAATGGAGGTTAAACCGCCGTGTGCAATGCTCCACCACAGAATCCCTGGCCGATATTAATTATCACTAAAAATATTGCCCTATTATTTAACACAACCATCCATTTCTCTCTATCTATGCTTTCCTAATATTACAGTGACCTGTGTTTTTGTAATGCGCAATCATATTTTTCTGCACGCTAACAAACAATTGTTGCTTTCGACCGAAAAGGGAAGTTCCAACGCTCACGTTCGTACTACCCAGTTCTTTACAAAATGCCCGTATATGCTCTGCTTTTCGATGTAATTGTGGTTTAATGGCGACAGATGTTGGCAACGGGCGAATGTCCCTAGTAAACTTGGCCAAAGTGACGCAAAAATGAAGAAGAAGAAGTCATCTGTGGTTAAGTTTTAATTAAGTTAGATGTTTTTGGAGTTTTCATCGGAAATGATTGAAAATTGTCAGGAAGGGATAACCCAATTCCACTTGCTTGGATGCCGAATGCAGATTTCATTTTGTGTTAAAGTGCCTTGTAGTTTAACCGGGATAGGTTCCGAAGAAAACTTGTTTTGTTGTTTGTTTTGACTTTTCACATTGAAACAAGAGGGTAACAATATTTTATTGGATATTATGAAATTCATCACTAAGTCTAGGCTAACAAAAAATTATCTACTTATAATTAGGCTTTTTGCTGCCTCTGACCAAAAATGGATGTCCCGACCCTCACGTTTGTGCTACCCTGTTCAATCTAAAAATACACACTTATGGAAACGTTCACAAATATAAAATAAAAGAAGATACCGCGCGTTCAAAATCGTCGGACATCCCCATCGACAGGTTCAGGTCTTTCAATTCGAGATTAAGCTCTTCACATACATTTTCTCTACACTCCCTCAGCTTTACAAAATCCGGATTAGGATCCCCATCCGGATTGTAACCCAGTCGACCGATAGTCATCAAGCCGTCGAATTGGAGATTGGGACAATTTTGTAAAATGTGTTTGGCCAAATTTGGCACCTCCATCGGGGCTATGCCACTCTTAACTATAAAATATTTTTAAATTTTGTTTATAATTACAAAAAAATGACATCTAACCATCTTCTCCGCTCGTGTTCACTTGTATCATAACTTTCAACTTCGGTTTGGCCTCGGTAACCCAATTCCGATCGAGTAGCGACGCCAGTTTCGCGGAATCCACCGTCTCGATAACGTAAATGTTGGGAACCGACAGAACCTGCTTGGCTTTGTTCGACTGCAAGTGTCCGATGAAGTGCCATTTGATTTCCGTGCACTTTTCCAAAATCTCTTTGTCGTTGGCCTTGTCCTCCAACTCCTGCACGTAGTTTTCGCCGAAGTGCCTCTGGCCCTCATTGTAAGCGGCCACAATACACTCTACCGGTTTCGTTTTGCTTGCCGCTACTAATCTCGGCTGGATATCGGGCAAATTCTAAAAACCAAAAGCTGCCTATGAAATACATCGCGAATGAGCGAAACAAACGGGGGCCCTTTTGCCGCAAGCCGCGCGGATTCGGTTCAAAACCATTTGCAAATTTTGTGCCACGTACAAATCCGACATCTTCGATTCGGGTTTTTAGGTTAGAGTCGGAGATAACTAAAATCTAACGGTCAACTTTGCTCCCGAAGTGAAATCAATAATCGGTAATTGCCGACATCTGCGAACTCAAAACTAACTAATACTGAGGAAACAAAATTAAGGATATAAATTTCATTCAGCAGTAATATACACAACATATATTCAACATTTTGGCGAAGGCGCAAGGCAAAAATCTACATTAAATAACTGATGACAGATAAGAACGTTGCTAATCCCATTTTAAGCTTAAGCTTCAATCTTTTTCGTCGAGCAATTCTTGAAACGTGTACATAAAAAATTAGCACAAAGCAACAAATTATTAAGTTCTATGTAACTTGCCTTTATTGCTGCTTCTACTTCCCCTTATGGATTTCTAATAAAATTGTAAACATTCAAAACAATTTGTTAAGCATCCGTTTTTTATTTGGTTTTAAATTCTGATTAGGTTCGACTACCATTTCCATTACGTCTTCATAATTTGCTTTGCGTTTTCGTTAAGTCTAAGAAATTAATAGAGTTATCTTGTTTAATTTCGATAGTGAATATTATACTATTATGTAATGAGTTGATGTAATTTAAAAAAGAATTCAATCGTCTGTCCGTTCCAACAAACCAAGCAGGGCCATCATCCACGTATCTATACCACCATAGAAAACTTTTACTTAAAGGATGTTCCAGTATGATATTTTCCAAATTATCCATAAAAATCTCGGCTAACCAAGGTCTAAGTGGGTTTCTCATAATCAAACCTTCCTTAGAGATTTGTCCACTATATTCAAAATAATTTTGGTCTAAAGATACTATAAGCAATCTAATAAATTTTGTTTCACCAATGGGTTAACCTATTTCCGAGTTAGGGGTATCACATCCATAGGTGGAATACTGGGAAATAAGTTTTGTACATCAAAAGACAATAGAGTTGCGTTAGAAGGGATTTTGATATCTTTAATTTTGTTGATTAATTCAAAAGAATTTTTTATTGCAAATTTTGGTTTAAAGTCTGTGTGGAATTTTAAAATATTTACTAATTTTGTTGAGAGTTTAACTGCTGGAGCTGTTACATAAGACACGACTAGTCTAATGGGCATATCTTATTTATGTATTTTAACTAAAGAATATAACTTCGGCGGTTGTGGATTCATAATTGTTAAAAAATACTTGTCTTTATCACTAAGTAATTACTTCCTTGACTTGTCTTTCATATAACTCGGTAGGATCGTGGTTGATACATTGGAAAAGTTCTGGTATAAGAAAATTGTTGGTTTTTGAGATGTATTCTGGGAGATCGATAGCTATGACTGTCTTCCCTTTATCTGCACGTGTAAATATTATGTTATTTTTAGAAGCTTCTTATTTGATAGGTTTTACTAATGACATTAGAGAAATTTGTTTGTTTAAATTAGAATCGTTAATGTCCTTAATTGCTAATTCACAATCGATCCCTCTACAGTCTAATTCTCTATTAACGTTCGAGTGCCGTAAGGTAAAGTTGAAGCCTTTTTCCAGAAATTCAACTTAATTTTTAGAAAATGTTGTGTCTGTTAAGTTTATGAACTTGTTGTAAAATTGGTGGTCGGTATACTTTGTAATAACTGGCTTGCTATTAGTATCAGGTAGTTTGCAAGTATTACATTTGATAAAGACACGGTGTTGTCATGTGAAAATATATATTTATACGTTCGAAATCCAACGGAACTCGTTCGGCACGAAGGTCGGCAACCCGCACGACAGCGCTGCCGCGCCGGTCACATACCCTCGACGACCTCCCGATGATCGCACGGATTTGCGGTACTGATAAAACTCTTCGAGGAAGTTCCGGCGCGAATCGTCGTACCGGAACGCACGTCGGCGATTTCCTCGTCGTTTCCACGCGCCTAACGGTCTACATATTATTTTAAACCACGCGTAAATATTCGATTACACGGAGATGTTCCGAGAATCGTCGCGTTAAATTTAGAGACAGCAGGTCTATACATAGACGCGTGAAACGGCGAAATTCCCGCAAAAATACGCGCGAATATATATATAATAATCGCGTGTCGGCGGGCGTATTTTTCGAAAACAACGCCGCGATGGCGGACGACGCGGCGATCGAGCCGTCTCGGGAGAAAAAACCGAGGCCGTCGCTCAAGATCCCTTCGAGAACGACGGTAACCTTCCCGGACGTCCCGAGGAGTCCCGAAGAAGCGAAACGGGAATCGTACAACAGGAAAGCGTCGCAGTTCGTGTTCGATCAGATCAACGATTTCAGACACTTCACGGTAAACACGGCCAAGTCCGGCCTGGGGGTGGGGGAAAAGTGCGCCCTGTGGCTCTACGACAAGTTCAAAACATTAAGCCGGAAGTGGTTCACTCACTGCTTTCTGACTATCGTGCTCGTCATCTACACGGTGGGCGGGGCCATCAGTTTTACCGCGATCGAAGGTGAGTTATAACGGTGTGACAATTTTTATTTTGTATCGAGGTTCAGACATAAGCACGCGAGAGTCCGACATACGTCCGCCAAAATTATCGATCGCACGTGGTCGCTCGTGACGTAAGCGAAGTCCTCTAACGGTTTTCGTGTATTTTTCCACAGGCTACTGTAATACTTTTTACAAAGCTTCTTAAAATATCCCATCACACCACAACCTCATCCGCTTATAAAATTCTTCGAAAACCTAGTTTCGATTTACTTCGAGAAAGAATTCATCATACCCGTAAGGGAATAGACCAAATCGATAAGGCTCTTCTGTCTCTACACCTTGAAATTTCTCCCATTTTGTCCCCGTCCTAGTTCGATACCCTTTTAAACACGATTCATGACAAAGCTTTATTTACTATCCAAAAACACGTTCAGAAATTTGAAAAAGTAACGTCAACACTAGGGAAACCATCAAGCTCTTCTAAACTACCAAACACTGTAATCAATGTATCATCGCACCAACTTTCGGAAACTGAAAAATTATTTCTTTCAAAAATCCTTAAAAAATCAAAACCTCCTAAATCCAAATATTGCAAAGCCCGAACGCATCACTCTGAAATCTCTCAAATCCAATCCAGACATCGTGATCCTAAAAGCAGATAAAGGAAATGCTACGGTAGTCATGGACACAAATGAATATCAGGAAAAGATTGGAGATATTCCTACAGACGGATCATATCGTCAACTTAAAAAAGATCCGACGCCATCTATGGATCGCAACCTTAAATCTGTTATTAAGGCTTCTTTTGTATCAAATAAAAAAAATCTGTTACCCCTCACGACTCTAAAATTCCTCGTCTCTACGGACTTAAAAAGATTCACAAACCAGGGCTACCCCTTCGAACTATTATCAGCATAATAAATATCAACTAGGCTCAAAGAACACGAAAGAGCCTTACGACTGAGACAGATAAACTCATTAACTGTTGCCGAACACACTCATCAAACCGGGCATCAAATTTTATTAGATACAACGAAAATTCTTGCATGTAATCAGCCATGCATTAAGAATAAATTACGTCGGCAACGCGGGAAAAGTGCTTTGATGATCGGTTTTATCGAATCCAAAGCTATATTTGTTGGTAGCTTATAGTTTTTTATTACAAATCCCGAAATATAAATGGTAGCCCTCGTAACTTATGGCTGCTCTGTACGTATTGTGAATTTATTGCGCAATGACCTATGAGTATCATACGTCAAAGAACATGTGGTCCAAATCGTTAAGTATTTTAGCGATAACCATCTAGCTAGAGTAAGCAGGAGACAACCAAGTGACGGAATAGTGTTGCGGATTGTTTAAAGATGTACGTCACTCAGTGGGGTATATTATTAAAAATCTGTGAAGAAAACAAAAACCAAATCGACTCGTGTCAAATATTGGGCTTAAACATGAATGTTGAAAACAATATCAGTTGCTCTTGATATTTTCCAGATAAAAAATGCTACTATCTCATATGCTGCAGAACAGTAGAAATATTTACATTAATGTAGAATTACCTTTATCCGAAATGCAAAAAATTCAAGATCGACAAGAGCAGGCACTCACGCCATATCATTTTGAATATAGGGCTTATTGATTGCTTGGTGGTGGTCCCAGATCAACTTCTTCATCTTCTTCTTCCCTCTTGGTGCTCTTCCTCACCCTTTCTTGCTTGTCGTAATATGGCTTGCCTCTGTCAAGTCTGCTGTTGTAGCCAAATCCTGATCTATCACCGTTCGCATTCTGTCTCGATAATAAGGCCTGCACGATAGGACGATAGGAATGTTGTACTGTTTCTGCTGTCACCTCTTTCCAAGCTTTACTAATAAAGTTCACTGCATATTAATGGAAAATTGGTCTTTGGACTCGACCATTTCCATTAAATTATTTTCCTGTATCGACTCTTGAGACTTTTTATTACGCTCTGGTCCATCGGCTGTAATACACTTGGCTGGAAGAAATTCCAATTCGATATTCCGGATGGATTTAGAATATGGGGATGCGCAGGGCAGTTATCTAAGAGAAGTAATATTTTCCTCACCTTTAATTTTGCATCCCATTCCGTATCTCCTCTTCAAAAATTTGCGATGTCATCCATGCAGACTTGTTTGCCTTGTAAGTGACCGGCAAATGCTTGATGTTCTTAAAACATCAAGCATAATTTATCCATGTCTCTGTTTGAACTTTCCTAGCTATCCTTTCGAAACCTTGAAATCGATAATGCCAAGCTGTTCAGCAAACTTTTCTGCTTTTAGTTTTACGATAAGTCCAGAGAGTCCATTGTTATTTGCCTTATTTTTATTGTAAAGTCTGAAACATGGCGCGACATCCTATGTCTATTTATAACTTGGAACTCTGGATTTGTTTTCCAGGTCCGTACGAAGATAAAATCCAAGAAATCGACATCAGAGAGTTCCGGATACGGTTCGTCAACGATCTGGCGAATTTAACGCGCCAGTACTATTCGGAAAATCACACGGAACGGTGGATAGAGGAAGCGACGCCCAAAATGCTCGATTTCCTCGGCAAAGTGATCGAGAACCACAAGACCGAACTTTTCATCGAAGCCAATAGGGGACCCAAAGTCTGGACCATCTGGAATTCCGTGGTTTTCTGCGCAACCATTTACACCACCATAGGTGAGCGTATGTAATATGAAAAATAGTCGTGTACGATTTGGAAATCCAACGACATGTCAAATGAAATTCAAAATGGCGTCCCACGGCAAACAAACAGAGTAAATAACGTTTCTTCATGAGCGGAACTTTTGAAAGTGTTCACGTGTATAAGAGTTTATTAATTTCCGGTTTTAAGGTGAACACACATTCGTTTTCGTTATTCCTTTAAGGAGAGAAAATCTACTCAAACGGACAGATGCGTCAAATATAAACAAATGAAAATATTATAGTGGCTTTGATTATGTTAACATTTCAAAGCATAAAGTAATATGAGTAAACTTTATTTTTGAAAATCTATATTGAATCGGAACATTGGTAATTTTCACACAATATCACTTAATTTCCAAGCACCCTACCCTACGACACTCACAAGGCACTAATCTGCGTGAGGGCCACATAGTATTACCCACTTTTAAAACAAATCCAGGTTCAAAATACTCTTTGAAGCTTCATCTGCCGCATAGTGTAAAAGCTAAGAGAGTTGATAATCGGTGATTTTTGAGCCGGATGGTGATGTGACAATGCAATCTGTGTGCGCAGGTTTTCTGTGAACACAATGACCCAATGTTAGGTCTGATTTTCTATTGATAAGAATATCTAAGAATGGGAAGTTTTGTTTGGTTTTAGATGGAAGGTTTCGAGAGCTTTCTTCTCGAAGGCTTAAATAAATATATTCCCGATGACTGGTGATATTGGAGAACCCATATCTGTTGCAGCAATTGCCCAACAAAATTACGAAACCGGACATAAAATTTCATTCGATAAAACTAAAATTCTTGCATCAATTCTTCTATCAACGCAAAATCCGAGAGTCTATGGGAATCAGTCATCAGTTTTATCACAATTACCTAATGTATCAAACGACCGCACTTTTAATTACTAATACTAACAGGTTCTTCCAAATAGGGGCATCTGATCATCTAATAGGCACACAACACAAAGTTTACACGGAGTCAGATGACCAAAAAAAATACCAGAGAATTTCGGTCAAACTAGTCTGATTTCTTAGCCCAGGCCTTAACAATTACTTTTATACACTAAACAGTCGCGTGAAGATAATCGTCTAATAAATACTTCGAAACCAAATCGCGCCACTGTCAGACGTCAACAATATCGACGCGCGAGCACAGACCACAGCGCCCGGTTGCGCTACACACAGTCTACTTCTTTTTCGCAGTCCGTCGGGCACGCTGCCCGGGGACACTCGCCCATTAACGCATACGCGATCTCACTCTACGTCCGAGTAAATCGGAACCCGACTTTTCGAAAATAGACACGCCGGGACGGAGCTCGTTAAAAATAAACCTCGCAGTCGAACTCGTATCGGTGGAGACGCGATGTTGTCGCTCACGGACGGGGACCCGGTGAAGCCGAAACGGGGAAAGGGGGCGAGGAAACGCAAACTGCACAGGGGAATGGCGAGGCAACCGACGCCCGAGAGGGTGGGGTTCGACGAGGACGAGTTCCTTAGGATCCTGGAACGGAAAACGTCAATTCGGAGGAGTCCCCTGCGGATCAACTCGACGAAAATCGTCGAAACGTTGAATCTGGCGGATGTCCGTCACGTTCGAGGGTCTAGTCCGATCACCCTCAAGAAACTCTTGGTGTTGACCACGTTTACACCGCGAGAAGTGTACCGACTCTACGGCGATCACAAGGTGAAGTTCGCCGGCGAGTACAGACTCCTCAAAAGCCTCACGTTCAGATGCCTGACCGAATTGTTGCTGATAATGGTCCTCTGCGCTAGCGGAGGCGTGGTTTTCAAGGTCACGGAAGGTAGTTTCGAGAATTTTTACAAGTGCGGCGTGAAACGGGTGAAGAGGGACTTCGTGGACCTGTTGTGGACGCGCAGTCACAACCTGAGAGAAGAGGACTGGAAATCGTTGGCGCGGAATCGCCTGAAGACGTTCGAGGAGGAACTCCACGCCGCCCACGAAGCCGGCATGGTCGATTACAGCGGTCGGAGGGCGTGGAGCTTCCTGAACGGCATCGTCTACTGCCTGACGATAGTCACGACGATAGGTGAGTACCGACGCGAAAGTATGCAACCAACCACCCAAATAGCACAAGGACGTCCGTAAAACGTCCTCGGGATGTCTGACGGGACATGGCGTATAATATGCTAGGGGACATCCTTGCGACGATATACAAGGATATACGATGTTACTAATTGGAACGTCCACAGTATATCAGATACGTATATATATATTACAACTAAGTCAGATAGAGGCAATGTTACTGTAGCTTTGTATAATCGTTAAAGCTTTTGAAAGATATTACCACTTATAAAGAAATAAAAAAGACCCCACTACATCCGCCGAAACTAAATGTAATAATATTGTTAAAAAATTAAATGAAAAGGGATCCATGAACGGAATTTGCCCAAAATATTATGGATTACCTACTTGTTCAATGCCGTTTTTACTGTGGTGTTTGAGTCCAATGATTCGGTACCTTTTTTGGATACTAAGGTGGTTACGACAGATAACATCGTCTTTCTGGGTTGGTACAGAACACAAATTAGTTCAGGTAGATATATCCCATACGATTCCTACCGCCCAAAAAAGCAAAAAGTTAATACTATTTTAGCCCTAAAGAAACGTATCACAAAATCTGTTGTCCTTGTTTAATTAACAAAAACTTACTAATTTTGAAAAATATTTTGATAAATAATAAATTACAAAATAAATTTTATTTTGTAATAACGATACTACAGACCCGACAGAATCTAATATAATAAATGCCGAAAATAATGACATTAAATATGGAAATTTACAAAATATCAGTTTTAATCTCGTAATTTTGTAATAATCAACTTGGGAGAAGGTTCCTGATTTGATTTGTGTTACATACCGATATGACCTGCTACAAATGCTACAAACGGAACATAATACTTATATGGATATTTCTTTTTATAATGTGTATTTTATTTGTTATTATTAATTTGTTTAAAGGTTGTAAAATATTCATTTACAGAATAAACGCAACAATTCAATAAATGTGCTTCTATTATATACAACCTGCGGAAGTTCCTTTGAAAGTAAAATCTAAAACATTACTTTTTGACATTGACAACATTCAACAATACTTTTCCGTTTCTAGTTTTATTAGTACCTACGACCGATAAGTGTAATTTTGCCTCGGAGTATGGAGAGTTCTGTGGAAAACATCTTTGCAGGTGTCTAAATCAATCACGAACCAAAACTAAAAAACAAATGCTAAAAATTTAATATAAAGACTTCAATATTACCAATATTACCTTTTAATGTAAAAAAAAAATTAATAATAATATTTATTTCGTCATAAAATAATACGGTAAGCATCAAAAAATTTTGCTAGCCTTATGGTTGCAAAAAAAGGAGTGGAAACCGATTACGAAAAGATCAAGGTCAATCTCTAAACACTGAAAGTAACATTCAAATAGATACTTGCACTATATCTTTTAAATGAGTTAAGAATTTTAATTTTTCCAGACTTCCATTGTACAGCTTTTATGTACGTAGGTAGGAAAGCTGATTTTATTATAAAGATACTGGGAATACTCAATACTGAGTAACTATACCACAAGTGAAAAGCAAACACCTCTTTTTGAGCCTCTGTGTTGTGTTGATGTCACACAAATCCATGGACCTTTTTCGAAATATTAGAGTCAAAATTGTTGAGTTAATAATACTTTGAAGTTAACCCAAATTGCAAATAAAAAACTTCCTCGAGACGGCCGATTTTGCTCTCGCCTTTTTCTTCTTCTTTATCCAACTGCTTCTTCTCGTTGAAGATTATCAGTTATAGTAGGTAGTATTTTTGCTGAAAGTATGCCGATATTCTTTTCTGAACTGTGCCTTGTTAAGTATATAGTTTTTTTTTAAGTGTTGTGCTTTGTGTTTTTTATTGTATTCTACTTTAATATATTTGATTTGATTTCATAAGAAATTTCTAAACATATTAATACAGGGAATGCGAAAAATAAAATTAAAATACTGCCAAAAAACTTTTGTTTAAACGCCGTCATACCCACCTTACACTAACTGAACTTATATGGCAACTCCCTCAGGAACGAACCTTGACCGTAGCGATTTAATTTTTAGGTTATGGTCACATGTTTCCGAAAACCACCACCGGGAGGGCGCTGACGATAGTCTACGCGTTGATCGGCATCCCGCTGTTCCTCATAGCGCTTACGGATTTCGGCAAACTGTTCACCAGGTGTATCAAATTTGTCTGGTCTTTCGTTAGAAGGCTTTATTACACCGGCAGCTGCCGCAGGGTCAGGAAACAGACCAACTTCGACGTAAGTGCCGAAATTTCAACGTAAGCAATATCTCACGATAGATTTTATGTTTTATTCAATGTTGAAACGTATACTTTGCGGGTTCTGTAGCTCAGTTACATGTCTCTCGTAAAATGTCAAATCCAAACCTCGAATCTTATTATTATATAAAATTTTCAAAAATGAAATATATTTTTTTATACGTGTAATACCACTTTAGATATTTTACTGAAATTCCAGCTGTCTGTTTTGGAGATATCTTTTTAGAAAGGGAAATATTAATAAAAGTCAATTACAGGTAAGAAATATAATTTTGAGTCCTCTGTTTAACTAACTAACCTGTACTTTGAACAATGCTATTAATAATAATAATAATCAAAGTAAAAACGTACGAAAAATATAAACGTATATAGGACGAAGTCTAGCCCGACACTGGTAAATCAAACTAAAACCTAGTTTATGGAAATAGCGTAACTTATAAATACACCAATTAACCAACACCCTGTACAATATGTGAAAACCTTAAATACAAAGGTTTTAGCTGTCTATACGGGCTATATAGAAATGTGAACGAAAATGATAACGGAATCGCAGCCTTCTAGTTATTGTCAATTATCAATATAAAGGCAGCTCAATTTTCAGTTTTCCGCAAATTATCGACGCGCCATGTACATTTTTAAAAAATCATCAAGAATAAAGGTTTTTTTTGATCGCATGTACCATCTTGGAGAAAGGAATTTTTTCTCGGTACCCTGCAAGTGCGGTTTTAAATTTTTTAAAAATAATTCCCGACCCCCCGGCGCCCCCAGTTTCAATAGGCTTCGTTAAAAAGGTAAGCCCATATATCTGTCAAATTTCAAGCGGATGGCTTCAAATTTCGGACACTTATCGTGGTTCATGGCAATGTCCAAAAACAGTCGAAAATCTAAATAAAAAAGATGGACGCCTTGTTTGATTAAACCCGTTTTTTACTGGTTTGTGTAACTCGTGCACACAAGGAGAAAACATTTTTTTTTTCTGCAGACCAGTGTAAGCGAAAAAAGAGACTTGTGAACTTTATCCCGGCCCACCCTGTATCGCATTATAAATTTCGCAGGGTATATTCAAAGGGGCGCAGTCCATGATCCGTAAATCGCTCGGCACCGAAGACGACGAAGACGTCCCCCAGGTGTTTACCCCCAGCTCCGTCCACACTCCGGGCAGCCCGACGATCTCGGCGTTCGAGATCGACGACGAGTTCAACCTGCCGATATCGGTGGCCCTTTTTATCCTCGTCGCCTACATTTTCTGCGGCGCCGTCATCTACATGGTCGTGGAAAAGTGGGATTTCTTCGAGTCGTTCTACTTCGTCTTCATCTCGATGTCGACAATCGGTTTCGGCGACTACGTGCCGAGACATCCCGTCTTTATGATCGGCTCCATCGTTTACCTGGTGTTCGGGTTGGCCCTGATGTCGATGTGCATCAACGTGGTGCAGGCCAAGTTGAGCGACACCTTCAAAGAGGCTTCGGCGAAGATAGGGGCGACGATGGGCCTCCAAGTAGACGAAGATGGGACCGTGTCGCCGGAGAGTGTGGAGGTGCCCTCCGTTCACGCCACCGTCGTCGACGAGGTCGCCAAAACCGATTGATTTTTGTAAATAGACGAGAAATAAAGCTGTTGTTTTTTAAAATGGCGCGTATCGCCCCTTGGTTTGCTGACGTTTGGTACTTAATTGAACAATTAAAAACCGATACGTTAGATCCACAGGATATCCAGGTTGCCAAAGTCCCTGTTCCTGAAACTCCTAACGTTGTTTCAGATAGATTAATATCTGAAACCAAACCTCCTTCAGCTACGGGTATTCCGTAATCACCAGTTATGTACACCTGGACACCTTCCATCTATTTAAACTGTATACCTAATCTGTCACTACACCATCCGGCTGTTTGAGGAGTTTACAGGAGTTTGAAGGGACCGAACGAAACACATCAACTAGAACATGAACGAGCCCGAAAAGTACTACAAATACAATCATCAGCAGCTGCCGAACACAATCATAAAGCCAGACATCCAAACTTGTTAAGATAGATCCAGTATCACGATTGAACTTTATCTTCTTTTAAATATATATCTTAGTAGGCTGCGAAAAAAAAATTGAAGTCTTGCGTCAAGTTTTTTGTTGACAGCATTGAGTATAGAGCAGTCATAAAGTTTTTGACAAAAGAAGGGTTAGCACCTAAGATTATTAAAGAAAGGCTGAATGGTGTGTACGGCCAAAGTTCTCCGTCGTATTCTGTAGTGAGAGAATGAGCAAAACGTTTTCGAATGGGGCAGGTGTCCCTTGAAGATGATTCAAGAATTGGTCGACCAGTAGAGGTCATAACGGAAGATATTGTTGAGGTGTTTATAGTTCAATTAAATCTCAGAAATTACTAAGCTTTCTGATACAAGTGTTCGTCGAATCCTGCATGATAATTTAGGTATGCATAAGGTTAGTGCAAGATGGGTTCCTAAAAACCTTTCGGCTATGTGGGTCGGAACCGAAGTCTGTGGTGGAAACTATTGTGACGGGAGATGAAACTATGGTTCTCTATCCAAAAAAGAGTCAATGGAGTGGCGTCGTAAGGGTGAAGCACCTCCAAGAAAATTCAGAGTCTGCCAGTCAACAAAAAAGGTGATGGCCAGGATCTTTTGGGATTGTGAAGGAATTCTTTTGGTAGATTTTAAAGAAACTAATACCACTATCAATATTACGCAACATTATTACATAAATTGCGAGACTGCATACGTGTAAAACGTCGAGGAAAACTGACCAGAGGCGTGCGTCTTTTGGACGATAATGCACCTGTCCATACTGCTGCTATAAATAGATCATTCATCCCCCCTATAGTCCAGAAAAAGGACTAACGTGGACGGCGGTTTAACGACGAAGTTGAGTTAAAAGAGCCTGTTTTAGCTCATTTTGCAGAGAAACCAAAAGAATATTTTCTTAAAGGGATTGAGTTGTTAATAAAGAGATGTAATAAGTGTATTGAAGTTATATTTGAAATATAATAAAAATTTGTTACTCTACTTTGTTTCTTTCATATTTGAGTCAAACCATCATTTATAGTAAATCAAAAATTTAGAAATTTTTTTTTTGGTTGCAATAAAACCATTGCGACGAAGGTTGCTCAGTTCATCAGCAACGTCGTGTTTAGGTTATGTCTGCGTCAAACTGCCTCCGGTACTTCGAGAAGGCTTCATGGTAAATGCAAAATTTGATATGTTTTTTTCTGAGAGTGATTAAAATTAGATCTAAAATTCGATAATTTTTTTTTTGGAGTATTAGAGCCGTCCAGACGATTTTTTCAAAATTGACCGAAAAATGACCCTATGGCGACATTGTATTTCAGTTTTATCTGTGTCAAACTGCTTCTGGCAATTGGATGAGGCTTTATACCAAACCCAAAATTCCATATTTTTCTTCCAGGCGTAATAAAAGTCATAGCGACGATTTTTTCACGGAAAAACGACGTTTATTTCAGTTTTATCAGAGTCAAGCTCTCTCTGGCAATATGATGAGGTTTTTGAGTATTCCAAAAAATGATAATTAATTTTTTTTTAAGTAATAAATGCCATAGAGACCATTCTCTCATTCTTTAACCGAAAATCGAAGCCCGAGAGACGTCGTATTTGAGTCTCATACGCGTCAAACAGCCTCTGGCAATTGGGTGAAGCTTTATAGTAAATCAAAAAATAAGTATTTTTTCTTATAGACGTAATAAAAGTCATAAAGACTATTTTTTTACCATATGACGGAAAAACGATGTTTTATTTGAGTTTTATCAATGTCAAATGACCTTTTATGTGAGTTGTATCAACGTCAAACTGCCTGAGGTTTCATAGTATTCCAAAAAATGATAATTAATTTTTTCTAATAAATGCCACACAGACCAGTCTCTCACTCTTTGACCGAAAATCGACGCCCGAGAGACGTTGTATTCGAGTCTCATCCGCGTCACACAGCCTCTGGCAATTGGATGAGTCTTTATACTAAATCAAAAAATAGGTATGTTTTTCTTCTAGATGTAATAAAAGTCATCAAGTTTATTTTTTCACCATTTGATGGAAAAATGACGTTTTATTTGAGTTTTATCAGCGTCAAATGACGACTTGTGAGAGTTTTATCAACGTCAAACTGCCTCAAGCAATACGATGAGGTTTTATAGTATTGCAAAAAATGATAATTAATTTTTTGTAAGTAATAAATGCCATACAGACCATTCTCTCATTCTTGGACCGAAAACCGACGTCCGTTAAACGTTGTATTCGAGTGTCATCCGCGTAAAACTGCCTCTGGCAATTGGATGAGCCTTTATAGTAAATTAAAAAATAGGTATTTTTTCTTCTAGACGTAATAAATGCCATAAAGACTATTTTTTCACCATTTGACGGAAAAATGACGTTTATTTGAGTTTTATCAGCGTCAAATGACGTTTTGTGTGAATTTTATCAACGTCAGACTGCCTCAAGGAATACGATGAGGTTTTATAGTATTCCAAAAAATGATAATTAATTTTTTGTAAGTAATAAATGCCATTCTCATTCTTTGACCGAAAACCGACGCCCGAGAGACGTCGTATTTGAGTTTCATTCGAGTCAAACATCCTCTGGCAATTGGATGAAGCTTATAGTAACTAAAAAATTATGTATTTTTTGTTCTAGACTTATTAAAGGTCATAGAGACTATTTTTTCACCATTTGACGGAAAAACGACGTTTTATTTAACTTCTATCGACGTCAAATGACGTTTTATGTACTCCAGAAAATGATTTTCTTTCTGCCACACTGCCACACTTCTCATCATTTGCTTGAAAAATGACGGCGGAGCGACGTCGAATTTGAGTTTTATCTGCGTCAAGCGTCTGGTAGTTCAACGAGGTTCTATGGTAATTCCAAAGTTGCCAATTTTCTTTATGTGAGTAATAAACGCCATGCGACGTCATATTTGAGTTTTATCTGCGTCAAACTGGTTCTGGTGATTCGATGAGTGTTTCTAGTGCATCCAAACTTAGATATTTTTTCTTCTGGGCGGAAAAAAAGTCAAAGATACGATTTTTTTACCATCTGACGGAAAAACGACGTTTTAATTGAGTTCTGTCAGCGTCAAAAAATGATAATTTTATTTCCGTGAGTAATAAATGCCACACAGGCCATTTTCTCATCTTTTGACGTAAATGCGACCCCGGAGAGACGTCGATATAGAATTCACCACTATTTGACCTCAAAGGGACGCTGAAACAACGTCGCATCATAGTTTTATTCGAGTCAAAGTCTTTAGACGCGTCTTTCATGTCGAGGAGAAGTGAGAGGGAAAAGAAGCTACATACTCATGGTATCAGTATTAATTTAATCATAATGTTTGAGTTTGCTATAAAAGTGTGCGCGATCATAGAAACGATTCGTGTGCGGCATCATCGGAAGCAGGGACCTTGACATCTTCGCCGTCGGCCTCGATGTACTCGACCCCCTCCTCGTAGTCCACGTGACACCTGGCCACGTGCTGCTCCGGATCGCCGTACTGGCTGTGGTAAAAATCCTCGCGCATCATGTGATTGAGGCTGCCGCATCTAAAGTACAGTATTGCTTGGAAAGGTTTCCGAAAGTCCCTGTTCAGCGTCGCGTAGATGATCGGGTTCAGCAGGCTGTTGGTGTAGCCCAGCCAGAGGAAGAGGCTGCTGAGCGTGTTCAGTGTGTTGGTGGTTTCCTTCAGGAACGGCCTGACCAGGGCCAATACGAAAAACGGGAGCCAGCAGAAGATGAAGGCGCTCATTATGATGCCCAGGGTGGTACTGGCCTTCCTCTCCTTGGCCAGCTGGAACCGTAGCTTCTTCTGGTGGATGCTGATGTTCGGAGACGATTTGGCCATCGACATCAGCAGGCTCGACTTTGAGGGTTTCGGGTCGTTCGACGTCGAAGATTTGGTCAGCATCGGGCACTGGGACTCGTTGCTGCGACGCGATTTGAAGCACCTGCCGAGCGTCGATCGATCCATGCTGCACTGTAATCAAAAGACCTGAATTAATAATAATATTAATAAATTGGGCTCTTCCACGTAACCACAAGAACAACAGCACCAACGCCATTCAATAAACAATGTAAACGTTTTTTTGAGGAACTTTGTGGTGAGAAGGGACGTTATAGCTTAAAGATCTCTAGTGTGTCTAGGAACCCAATATCTCAAACAATGGCGTGTGTGTCTCGGGTCTAATTGCAGTTTACGTGGCCAACTGAACTTTATAACGGCGCTCCAGCTTAAGCCGACCCACAGAGGTACTGGGAAATATGGTCGAATACGTTGGAGTCTCTCCTTGTGTCTATTTAGTATAGCTGGCCAATTAACGGAACTACAATAAGTTTAAGATCGACTTTAACAAGTCATTTGTCTATAAGTACGGTAGCTTAGATATATTATTCGTAAAGTTTACACACCATCTCAGCGATATGGATGTAAACTTTAAAAAAATTATCATACTGGGAGACTTTAATATAAAATTCAATTTAAACTCGAATGCCCTAGTTGAACTTTCCGGTATCCTGGTTTTAAAATTACATACTAGGATAACGCCGGATAATTCATACTGTCTTGATAATATACTTACGATTCTTAGTGAACATTATTATGCAACAGTGCTAATCAACCCAGCTTTCTCTGATCATTTAGCCCAGTATGTTAAAATAGAAACCACAGTTTTACTAACAAGATTGTTCAATAGGTCGGGTGTTGAAAAAACTATAAGCTCCCTTTTGTCCCTTGACTGGTACAACTTTTATAGTTCTGAGGACGTCAATTATATGTCACACTTTTTGTTACACAACATCTACGACCTAATTGAACTAAACCTACCTCCAAAAAAATGTCAGTTTTAAAAATCGCCTGTAAACTGGGGTACGCAAGGTCTAAAACAACTCAGAAATCGAGTCCTGGCTGCTCAAACTATGGGTTTGATATCAAAAACAAACCAGGACATAAACAGATATAAAAACATCCAAAAGCATTAGAAAAACGAGATAAAAACAACTAAAAAATAAGCTTATAACAAATACATATTAAAATCCGATAATAGGCCCGATGACATATGGAGACTCATTAGCTATGAACGGAATTATATAAAAAAAATCCAATAACTCAAACGTCATCAAAGTGGTTTAATTAGACAAATACCCTTTAATGAAAGTTCTTTTGCACTTAATTTTCTTACTGAATTAGAGGTAAAAGTATCGATTCTCGGTCTAAGAAACTCTCTGACGCTCTGACGCTGATGAAATCGATGTCAATTTATTAAAAAACCTTATAGATGTTCTGGTCATTCCACTTACCTTCTTTTTTAATAAGTGCATTCAATATGGCATTTTCCAGATACTTTAAAAATAACTAAAGTTATTCCGATCTTCAAGAGCTGTGACATTAACAATCCCGGAGACTTACGTCTCATATCCATAGTGCCACATATCGGTAAGATATTTGAAAGGGTTATAAAAAGACAAATAGTTAATTTTTTTGAGCAGCAGGATATCTTTGGGTATGGGCAGTTTGGATTTTGGGGAGGGACGCTCTACCGTACAAGCGATAAGTAAGGTTGTGGGAGATGTGGTGGTGGGTCTTGAGACTGGAAATCGGGTGAGGTTGGTAATTACAAGGCCTTAACAAGATCTTCGACTGTATCTCGCATTAGTGGGCGATGACAGACGTAAATCCCCTTTGGTGAAGGGATCCAGTGGGGTCCCCCAAGGGTCCGTACTCGGCCCTGTATTTTTTATAGTGTATGTTGCCGATCTATGCCGTTTTTTGGTGTCTGTCAAATGTGCCAGTTTTGCCTTATATGGTCCGAATTGGAACGACCTGCACAACATTGGGGAACTGGAGAGCAATGTGAACAATTTGGTTAAAAATAACTATTTGAAATTGAATACGGACAAAACTCAAAAAATATTCTTTTCGCTAGATAAATACGACAACGGCGAACGGCAGTCGGCGAAATTACTTGGCACTACTTTTGACAGCGGACTTGACTGGAAAGATCATATTTTTTCTTCCAGCTTATTCGTCCTTAGAAAAATTAGAGAGATCCTAGACCAAAATGCCCTAATGACAATATATTATGCTTTATTTCATTCCCACATATCATATGGCACAATATTATGGGGAAACTCTATCAATACTGTTCAAATATTCAGGACACAGAAAAGGGCTAAGCCCAATGAACACTGTACTCCATATTTTAAAAAATATAAGATCTATATCTATATTCTCCATAATCTTTTAGTTATCCAACACGTGCAAAAAATCTTATAAAGTTTTCATTCCAGATAGGTACAGACAGGTTTTTGAGGTGTTCAAAACAAATATTAAAGTGTTGCTTATTGAAAATTGAAGAAAAAAAAAGCATCTGAATGAGTATTTCCTATAACCACTCTTCAGCGTCTCTAACGAAGAAGATTTTTTAAAAATGAATCCCGAAGTATTTCAGTTCACCCAAGAGGAGGAAATGATCCAAGGTGTCGAACGCTTTGCTACAGTCTAAGAGTATGAGACAAAGAGTCGAATAACCAAGTTGCAATCTTTTCAACAACATTTGCGACGGTAGCCGACAAACTGATTTTAATAATCCACCTTAAGTTTGATAAATATAAAAAAAATATTCGAAACCCTTCATTAAGCATGAAATACGACTAAAAAAAGTTGTAACCTCATAACCTCACTTTTCAGTTGTTGTTTGGTTGTTCCTTCTTGGACGAAGCGTGTTGAGTTCAGTTCGAGTTTTGGAATCAAACTAAACATGGCGTTAAAATTGCGCAGATTGTGCAAAATGGTTAATTGCCCAATACAACTTGTAAAAAAAAACGTTACGCCATGAAGCAGCGCTATTTGTGTCTCGGAATTTAATAACAATGAGTCGGCGAATCGGAGAATGAAACGAATGTGATTTATTGTTATCGCGGCCGATTAACTAATGATAATATAAATCAAAAACCGTTTAGAATTTGTTTGAACCTCGAAAAATATCAGGGTAACAATTATTTCAACAAGTGTCATCATTTACCACAGTAATAAGGCGAAATATTACGATGAAAAAGAAAAATTTTATAAGAGAGATGTATACATTATTATTAAACTTAAACACAGTGGTCTTAAATAAAAGGTGTGGGTGATTGTCAAGGTTTTTCACAGTGCCAAGTAGTGGAATTATAGGGACTTTTTGGCAGTTGTTGGCAAAGTTAAAAATAAAACGGAAGATGAATTCGTTAAGGCTTTCGCGGCCCGTTGATAAGCTATTATCTTCATTCGGGTTTAAAGGCCGTCGTCGATTGGAATTATTTCCTAACGTTTCGCTACCACGAGTGGCGAGCTTCTTCAGAGGTCCTTCCATCTCCGATGTTGGACGTAGACTGACGATTTCTCCTGCGCAGGTTGTATTTATGCCGATTGGTGGGGGGCGGGGCTTGTTCCGCTTCGGTTGGTCTCGGGATATCGATCGGTACTGCTCGGGCGTTCCTAAGGATCGGGTTCCAGATTTGGTTGAGTCTAAGGGTCTCCTCCTTTCGGTTGAAATTATGAGGGTGTTTTTGAATCTCAATGGCTTCCCTGACTAGTCTGTTGTGATAGCCGTTGACCGATGCTAGTAACTTACAGCTCTCACACACAGCCACACAGTTTACAGAAAACCAATCCATACGGACGGATACCTGCATGCTCTATCCAACCATCACCCAAGTCAAAAGTATGGGGTTATCAGAACCCTGACAGAACGAGCCCGAAGGATTTGCGAACCGGAGAACCTCCAGATGGAACTTGAACACCTAAAAACTGCGTTCGAGGCAAATAGCTACAGTAAGAGGGAGATCGAGAGATCAATGAACTCAAGATCATTAAGATCACGGGATACCGAACAGCGACCCTCCACCTCCCACGCATATCTGCCGTATATTCCGAGTGTCACCGACAGGATTGGCAGAGTATTGAAAAGACACGACATCAAAACAATCTTTAAGCCTACAAAGAAGATCCAGCAGACCATCAGGTCAGCGAAGGACAAGAGGGGCTCACTTTCAGCTGCGGGAGTCTACCGCATTCCGTGTTCATGCGGAAAGGTCTACATCGGAACTACCAAGAGATCAATGGGAACGAGACTTAAGGAGCATAAAGCAAGCTGCAGGCTAGGACATACAGAGAAGTCTGCAGTGGCTGAACACGCACTGGGCAGCGGGGAACACAGGATACACTTTGAGAGCTGTAAGTTACTAGCATCGGTCAACGGCTATCACAACAGACTAGTCAGGGAAGCCATTGAGATTCAAAAACACCCTCACAATTTCAACCGAAAGGAGGAGACCCTTAGACTCAACCAAATCTGGAACCCGATCCTTAGGAACGCCCGAGCAGTACCGATCGATATCCCGAGACCAACCGAAGCGGAACAAGCCCCGCCCCCCACCAATCGGCATAAATACAACCTGCGCAGGAGAAATCGTCAGTCTACGTCCAACATCGGAGATGGAAGGACCTCTGAAGAAGCTCGCCACTCGTGCTAGCGAAACGTTAGGAAGTAATTCCAATCGACGACGGCCTTTAAACCCGAATGAAGATAATAGCTTAAAACGGAAGATGTAAACTGCCAGCCGCTGACTTTTTCTTTGCACTTCCAGGCGATGGTGTAAGTTCGTATCGACGTCCCACATCACATTTCCTTTATCCCCGTCTATCTCCCGAATAAAAGCAACTTCATCACCTAGAGATAAAATTTTTCGCTTGCTCGCCATGCTAGCTGTATTCACTAAGTCAAATTAGAACCGATTGACACAATGGTGTGCTTTTATACATATAAACACTTAGGACGACCAGGTTCTCGGTAATTAGATTATTAGGGTAAGGAATTCTGAGAAGGTAAGAGACTATTAATTACAAGTCGGCCTACATTCCTTACTTGATTCGGTATAGAGTGAGAAAATCGTTATATAGAGTAGATTAATACACAGCTTTTTATGGAGACCTAAAAGTAC